TCCTAGCCCTCTGGTAGCTAGGCAGACCAATTCTACATCAAACTGGCTGGAAATCAAAAGTTGCTCCTGTTCCCATTGCTTTTTTGCCCCTAGTTTATGTTTATGTAAGGGAATGTCTTTGAAATGACGACTCCTTGTAGGTTGTCTAGTTAAAGTTTAAAAATAGAAAAATAAGCCCTTTCACTGATACAGTTCTTAGCCATAGTGGATTTCTTTATTTTAGGAGCTGCATATGTTCTATTTGGAAAAATATTTGAATGTGAAGAAATAAGTATTATTTTATGTGTCCTATCAGCTTTCAATTCTTATTTCTTGCCTTAGGTTTATCTGTATATATCCAGCCTATATAAATAACAAGAAGACAATAGCAGAAGGAAGAAGAATACCTCTTGACAAAGTAATTGTGGATGAAGGGAGGAAAGAAAATCTGTGCATCAGAAATATAATTTGGAAACTTATGTAAAATAAAATGTATTTGTGTGATCTGTTATTTCATGGAGCCTTATTAATCAGATACTAAGATGTATCTGTATTTGCTTTAAGTAAAAAAAATGCATTGTATATATTCATTAGTGCATTATGTTAGTTTTGCCACTACATATTTATGTCTTGCATGTATAAAAAGACGTGGTTGTTTTAATGTAGTTTAAAATTAAAGTACTTAAATGATTTATCTATCTAGGAATATTAAAAAGTTCAGTTGCAAGCTATAATTACTCCATGGTTAACTGTAACATTTTTGTTACATGAAAATTTCTTTGCTTTTTTTTTCTTTTGGTATCGGGTAACAAATTGGCGAGGGTTGTCAGTGCCAATTTTTAAAGCTGGCATATGGCTTGCAAAATTTAATGCTGTGCATGCTCAAATTAATTTATATCTATACATTCTATGGGCTATACCATATGTCTTTAAATATTTCCCATTTTATTGTGTTAATTGATTTTTGTTGTTTTAGTCAATTGTACCTCTATATTTTAGGAATTGTTTTTTCTTTTTCCTATAAATGGGTAAGATGCACATAATCATTTTAATGCTGTTGCAATAAAACGCTGAAGGCTCCTAATTCTGTAGCATTAGCTAATAACAATTGATCTGTGGGTGACAGCTTAATTGGTGGCCAGAAATCATAAACGCTAAAACATATTTGGGTTTTTTTTTTTTTTTTTTTTTTTTTTGGTAGGCTATTGAAAATCCTACATCTACAGAAATCCAAGATGTTTGTGCAGCAGTTGGTCTTAATGTGCTTTTGGAGGTAATTTTTTTTGTTATTTCCTACTATACTGTTATGTAAAACTATAATTGCACAATTGGTGACAAAGGGGAAGAGAGCAAGAAGAGTCAAACTCATGGAAGCAATGTTATGACACAAGTCCTTCCCTTCCTAGAGTAATGAAAGCAGCAGACCTTACAGAGGACACTGTAATAAATGGAGGCTGAGGATTACAGAACACATTCTTCCAATAGAGTGTTAACAATACTCTGGAGAGATATAAATCTAAAATGTTTATGCTGGTATACTATAATAATTAAGATAATGAGCTGGGAAATCCATCTTTGAAATCTAATCCTTGGCATACACTCCCAAAAAACCCTTTAATAATATAACTTTCAAATTGTTACAATAAATTGTAGCCTTTTTCACAGAGTTTTCCTTTGAATTACTAAGATAATATATTTGACTATTAAAATAAACAGTTTAGCCCAGAGGTCTTCAAACTTGGCCCTTTTATGACTTGTGGACTTCAACTCCCAGAATTCCTCAGCCAGGCACGCTGGCTGAGGAATTCTGCAAGTTGAAGTCCACAAATCATAAAAGGGCCAAGTTTGAAGACCCCTGGTTTAGCCCTATATTTGTTATTCCTGTGTAACTATTAGGACTGTTAATTTAATAGTTTAATGGTTCGTGTTCCCAAAGTAGATTTATAATTGTAAGCATTTTTATTTTGCTTATGTTACTTGTAATGTTCTGAACTTTCTTTATGTACTAGAAAAACAAAATGTATCCCAGGGAATGGAACCGTGATGCGCAATATAGGGGCAGAGTTCGCATTCAGCTGAAGCAGGAAGATGGTCATCTATGTCAGCCTCAGTTTCCAACACGTGAGTGTTATAAATATGCACGAGGCTGGTTTGTTCCTTTGTTCGTTTATAGATGGAAGCCAAAGCTGCATATTATGGAGCACAAATGGTGGATAATTCCTGGTTACCCTCTGCTTAATGAATTATTTTCTTGTTCTTTTCTCTCTGTTTAGGTAAGGCAGTGATGTTATATGCAGCAGAAACAATTCCCAAACTGAAAACAAGGACACAGAAAATGGGAGGCAGTGACCTAAGTCTACAGCAAGGAGAAGGAGGCAAAAAAAACAAAGGAAAAAAGAAGAAATGAATGTGACATGGACTAATATATATTCAAATGAGTATGGTTACAGAAGAATAATGATTTCAAATGACGGACAGACCAATGAGAACATGCAAAGCTATTTTGTGGTAGTTTTTGAATTAGAATGAATTTCATTTTGCATAAAATTATGGTTGAACTATTTGGGAACATAACCAGAAAATCCTCTTCTAATATTTAAAAAATATGGAAAAATAATGTTTTAATGTATTGAACTGTGTGTACAAATGAATGCAAAGCTGTTTGTTTTTGCCTTGGATACATTTTCACTTGATAAACTTTACAATGAAATACATTTGTCACTGTGATGTTGGGCTTCTCTTTATTACAATAAACATATGTTTGGATTAAACTTCTTTAGAATGTTTTAATTGCTAAGTAATGCTTCCAGTTATATTATTTTTTGATGGAAATCAATAAACTCATGCCTGGGAGAGCTACGACAGCTATATTTCATGGGCAATTGCAGGGAAAGTACTCATAAATTGTACTCTGTTTATATCAATATATTTTCTGTAGATGTCCAAAAGAATAATTTAAATTTAAATTTTATAATTGAACTTTTTTTAGTGCCAAAATACCTAAGAATGTCTAAAAGTAGTTTTAAAAAGAAAACATTGGTAACAATAGTTGAAAGTCCATGGACCCAGGGTTGGTCCAGCATTGTATGTATGATAACTATATATTTTTTAAATTTTCTGGGTTCTCTTTAGTACTTATTGTTATTTACACTTTAAAAAAATCAATTATAACATTGCTCAAGATAATCAGCATTTCTAAATTGAAACAGAAAGATGTACCATCAATGTTTCATGTAGTTAATATAAATAATCAGTAAGATATGGGAAAATACAACAAGGACAAATTTCTAACTACAGTGACTATATAGTGGAAATTGATAGAATCTGATAGCAATATTGCTTTCTTCATGTGAAAAGTAGTGACTTATCTTTCACCAAACTCAAAAACTGTAAAATCATATATTGTATTTTTGGCTTTAGCACTTCCTCAGATTTAGTTTAGTGGGATGAAAGACTTATTTCTACTGTAGCTTATAACTGTGAAGATATTTGCATCAGCAATTAATGAACCAAGGACACTCACTTTTATGGTGCTGACTTTAATTTTAATTTATGTCATGCTCTACATCTTTCTGTATCAACTTCAGCTGTTCAATAATATTGCCTTACACTAAAGTTATTCCAATGGCATAAAATTACAAAAAGCAATAAAAGGTCATTTGACCTGTTCTCTAGGCAATATGTCAATGTTTTCTCAGTCCCATGCAAATTAACCTTATTAGTGCATTTTCAAATGGGAAACTTCCCACCTGGCTTGGTTTGACTTGCACACTTCTATTATACTATCTTTATTTTCCAGCTGATTACAAGTATGTGGATTTTTCCAGAAAAAATTTAATAGAAAAGTATATGTAGCAAAAATAGTTTTTGGCAACAATACAGTATGCATATTATTGGTGTCAGTGACATATATTATCTCATTTTGCATGGAACATAATCATACATAGACTACATTTCGCGTGCTTCTTTATACTAATGGGATTTAGGTTACAGTAAGATGCTGTGGTGCCTGGCTAGGGGGCAGCACCTTGCTGCTCAGTTTAAAGGCGAATAGAATTAGGCCCAGTTAGGATGATAATCAAGAATCTAGGTGTTGCAATTTAGATTGGGAAGTTAAAAATATCTACAAAGTGCCATTGGCAAACCACTTCTATATTGTTGCCAAGAAAATTATATGAGTATTTCTATGAAGGCAATTGGAAATTGAGTTTGAATCAAAAGGAAAAAAAAATACTTATAAAACTAGAGAATACTATTTCTGAGAGCCCCCCCCCCTTTGTTCTTTACTACATATATAGAATTCAAATGATTTTATTTTTAAATCCATTTCTTTTGAAATGTGTGTTTAAGAGATTCTGTGCTATTAGCAATATTGAGAATTCCCAAGCTATTGGGCGTATTATTTCCTACAAGATGCATTGATGGATATTAGCACAGGTAGTTTAATATTTCACTCAGTATATAGGAAGACAAGCAGGCAGCAGCTCTCACTATCTGTGGGATGGAACATCATCCTTACAGAGGAGGGATTCAGACACATCACAGTACCTTTGCTGAAGAAACACATTCTGAAATATCACTAAAATCATTGTTAAACTCTAGAAATGAATACAAATTGAAAGCAGATAGCTCATATAGGCAATTCACACCTTTTCCCTTTTAAATAATCCATTTTAGCAATACTAGGTTACATTCACAAATGTTAGACTGGGATGTTTAAATCATAGTTTTTAAACTGTATTTGTCTGGTTTATCTGTTAACATTTGAATGTCTGAATTTCTGCATAGCCAATAATGAACTCTGGTTAACTTTTTGTTGCAACTAAGCCAGTGCATTTGAGAAAAATAAATGTATGAGATGTGGCTGCCCACCTGCATGCTTTCATAAGCACCCACTATTCCCTTGTCTTGCTGCTGTATGTTTTTAAATTAAAAATAAAGATGAAAACACTGGGAAGCCTACAGAATGAACAGCATTCAAGGGCCAAGTAAACTAAAACACATCAAAGAACACAACAGAATCCCTTTTAAATTTTTATTTTATAAACTGAGCAAGCATCATCTGTATTGCTCACATGAAACACCACCACTATTAAAAAAAACATTACAGGACTGAAGTTCAGTGAACCAGAATAGGGTGTCAATGGGGAAGGGGAAAATGTCTTTTCTCTGCCTTAATCAGTTGTTTGGTTACATAACTCAGGTAATATTGTAGGAGAGCCAGTCTATGCATTAGTAAAAATTCAGTTTTCTTATAGCAGCTTTTCTAAAACAGTAGATTTTATTAAAAAGCACAGACTTTTATGAGATGCGCTCTCTGCATTTAATTAGGTGAGCCCCAGCTCAAGAGAGCTTATGCCTTTTAATAAAATGTGTCAGTCAGAAAACGTGCTACCAGACTTTCCAATATGATGATGTTAAATAAATTTTGGCAAAGGGTTCACTTTTTAGTATTTAAAGAGAATGCCTAAGTCAATATACATATACTAAACCAGATATTACAAGTTACAACCAATCTGTACTTCAAAATCAGTTTCCAGCACTGTCATCTCAGTTTATTCTTTCAACATTATAAGTAATTGGTGAAAGTCTGTGTGAAGAGAGATACCCAGCAACACATGGCTAATTGTCATTCTTTGTATATATACAAAACTATGCACACCAAATCACTATCATTACACTTTGATATTTAACTATGCTATAACAAGAACTAGTCAAATATGAAATGAAATTTGCACATACAGCTATTGCATGCACAAACAGTGTAATATTCAGAGCCTGGGGCATATTTTCTTTTGAAAATTACATGAAAGGCAAATAAGACATTACTGAAAATCTTCTTTCTTCTTAGAAACTGTATAAGCGTTAGATGCCATCTACTGCATTGACGTTAAATAAAAATGCTTACTTTCAATACAGAAAACTGCAAAAACAGCAAGCAAATCTTACAATACATTCTTTTAATAAAATCAAAAAGGTTTACAAGGCAACATTATTCAAATTACTGTATCACAGTCCCCAGAAACATCACACTGTATAAAGGTCATGACAAGGAGAAATTTCTTCCAATTAATTTCTTTAGGTGCTCTTCTTCTCATCGCCCAGTAAATTTATTGTTGCTTTTTTAACTAAAAGACGGAAAGAAATCCATTATTTTTAACAATACTATAACAAGGTAACTCAAAATTATTATAAATTCCAAATTATGTTCAACTTCTGTGGGACAACATCAACATTTGCATATAATAATAAATAAGTCAGGGTAGAGATAATGAAAAGAGAGTGGAATGGAGTAATCAATACTACAAAACTAAAATGGAATTATTCCAACATTTAATACAGAATTGTATACTGTGCTATATTATTAAACAACTTGTAAGTACTCAACATGGTGTAATCAGTATAAATTACACAAGATAAATATATTTGCATATTTAATTAACATACTTAATTACTTAATTTCTTGGATAGTGTTTTTTTTTGGGCTGCTACCATTTGGGGAAAGGAATAAATAGAATAAGTATCCTAATCTTCCTCCACGACAATTCTACTTTGTTGTGAAATTTCACTGTCTACATAGTCTACTACAGCCTATTACTGCAGAGCTAATAGAGTAGTCTTTCCCAACGTAGAGTTTCTGAAATAATTTCTTAGAATGCCCAGCTTATGTGGATGAAATCGTATACATCTGGAGAAATAACACTTTCAAAAGGGCTGGTATGGAGACTTATCTTGGAAAAAATTACCTCCTTCCGTTATATATTCAAGATGGACAATTTTGTTGTTGTTAATTGCGAAGTCGTGTCCGACCCATCGCGACCCCATGGACAACGTTCCTCCAGGTCTTCCTGTGCTCTACCATCTTCTGGAGTCCATTTAAGTTCACACCTACTGCTTCAGTGACTCCATCCAGCCATCTCATTCTCTGTCGTCCCCTTCTTTTATTACCCTCAATCTTTCCCAGCATTAGGCCCTTCTCCAGTGAGTCCTTCCTTCTCATTAGGTGGCCAAAGTATTTGAGTTTCAACTTCAGGATCTGGCCTTCTAAAGAGCAGTCGGGGTTGATCTCTTCTAGGACTGACCGGTTTGAACGCCTTGCAGTCCAAGGGACTCGCAGGAGTCTTCTCCAGCACCATAGTTCAAAGGCCTCAATTCTTTGGCGCTCAGCCTTTCTTATGGTCCAACTTTCACAGCCATACATTGCAACTGGGAAAACCATGGCCTGGACTATACGCACTTTTGTTGGCAGGGTGATGTCTCTGCTTTTTAGTATGCTGTCTAGATTTGCCATAGCTTTCCTCCTCAGGAGCAAGCGTCTTTTAATTTCTTGGCTGCAGTCCCCATCTGAGGTGATCTTGGAGCCCAGAAAAATAAAATCTGTCACTACCTCCATTTCTTCCCCATCTAGGGATGTGGGTCTATACATATGCTGTTCATATGTTTAGGTGTGTGTCCTGTATGTGTTTCACTTTGAGAGCGGGCAACTAAATTTCATTTTTGATGTGTGCCATTGTATAAAAATGACAATAAAGGTTATCTTATCTTATCTTATTGAGTTTTTCAACATACAGTAACAAATTCTGCACTTACATAATTCAGAAACAGACATACTTCCTCACAGCAAATCTCGCTGTACAATTTCTTTCTAATTAACTTCACTAAAAATGATTAATGCATAATTATCTAGGAAACAGACTTGTTTGAAATTGGCCTTGCTGGCCTCAGCTTACCTTCCTTAGTAATGGTATCTGTTGTCTCTCCAGCTTTTTCTTTTAACTCCTTCACTACATTATCCAACTGAGCCTCATGCTTCAAGAAAACAGGGCGGATAATTCTGTGGTAAAGGAACTCTGCTCCATTTGAGGGACTTGGGGCCATACACCACACCAGAAAGCCACACTGTACAAACAGAAAGAGCAAATAAGAAACAGACTGTGATGCAGTGACCAGCGGTGGTATTTAAATATCAGTAATCCTGATGCTACAGTTTAGGGAGTTTCTTAGCCTGAGTTTCTCACTGTGATAAATATATTAGCTTTAGCACTGCCTCTTCATCTCATCTGGAATATGAAGATAATAGTATCTTACGCAGAGACTATAACAATGTGAATCATTTTGGACAATAAAGCAATACAAGTATTGTATGGGTCCCACAAATCTCTGCAAAAGATATTACATGTATTGCAGATAAACTCTACTTCTTTGAGTTTAAAAAAAAAAAGGGTATCTAGCCTAAAATTCTAAGATCTCCACCAGTTCATAAATAAAGGAACACTTAGTGTGGTTAGTTTTTGTACTAATCTATAATCCTAGGGAATGAAGTGATTTTCCACAGCTGATGGAATATGCTATCTCCAAAACAATAGGAGAAATTCCTGAAATTTGTCCTTGCATCTCCTTGTGCATTAGAATATGGGAAGAAAAATTTAGAAAATCAATGTGCCCTGCCTATGACACATCTATTAATAAAAATAATTTTTAAAATAAAATAATTTCTGCTTCAAATTAGGTTTCAGTTCTTGTTACTTGATGGACATGGCCATGTGATTTCTTGGCAATAATATAAAAGTAGTTTGGCACTGGCTTCTTCCAGGAATGTACATAACATAATTAGGAGAATAAAATCTTCTAAACATAAGGTAGCAAAATAAGATTCATGCATGTTTTCCCAACTAGATAATTGCAAATATCTTTTCCAAAACTGATAGAGAGAAATAATGCAAAATTTCATGCCTTTTCCAATACTGGGGCATCGCTTTCGTTTCAGAGAAAATGGCCTGTAAAGCAGTGGCCCCGATTTTTCTGGTACCAGGGGCCGGTTTTGGAAGAAAAATTGTCTTCCAAGGCATGAGGGAGGATGGTAATCTAGATCCCATGCATGTGCAGATGAAACTTTGCTCCCTTGCCCGCCATTTGTGTGGCCCAGTGCCTAGCAGGCAATGGACCAGTACTGGTCCGTAGCCTGGGTTTTGAAGACCCTTGCTGTAAAGTATTTCTAACCATTGCAAAATGTTGCATCCCCTTCTGCAGTCATGTGATCATGGTCTGGACGCTTACAGGACTGCTTGTAATTTTAAAATTGTTTCAATATTGTTTGATATAAATGCAACTACAAAGCAGATTAACAGTAACTTTTGAAAAAGTCATGTTTAAAAGCAAATGGAAATTTCCATGAATTTATGATACCTAAACGTATTCTTTTATGTATGAAGAAATGCTGTTATCCCATTGTTGCTTGGATATTATTATCACTATTCCAGCCAATAGGTTTTGGTTTAAGAAACATCTTCCTTTAAGAACCAAGTCTTGGTATGTTTGGAAACTAAATCACAGTTGGAGCTGAAGTTCATTGTCTAAATTAGAGCTACTTTGTAAACTAAGATTAAGATATATTTAACTATAGTCATTGCACCATCCAAGCTTATATTTCACATTGTGATATTTGTTTCTTGAGAGAGGTATATGTACATGGGGAGCAGAAGACTACAAACCTTCATCATATAGTAGAATGGGAACCAGGACAGAAAGATGTCAGCGAAAAATTCTGCTATGCTGAAGATTCCATACACGACCCAGTAGGTCAACCACTGTGTATCATCATCTTTGTTAGGGCTTTCAATGGCTTTGATGCTGAAAAAACAATAATCAGGAGATAAGCCACATCAAATATATGGACCATAAACCTGGCCAATTTTCTACTCCAAATAACCTATTCTACAGCTGGGCGCTTTATATTCATCTAACAACTGTGTGACTCAAAAATGGTAAAAAAATTGGGACCGGTTATATAACAATTCACTTAACAACTGCATTGCTTAGCAGCTGAAATTCTGGTCACAATTGTCATTAAGTCGAGGATATAGTATATAGTTAAGCCTAAGTCTATTTGAATGCACTATCCAATCGTGATATAGTGAATAGATATCTATAAGCAATATTGATTTGATTATTTATGATAAAAGATTGATAGAATTAATGAAAACCATCAGATAATGAGTCTGGAGGGGGGAATGGAAGAAACAGAAATAAGTAAAAGAAATTGGATCAAAGTAGACTGACTGTAGGAAGATAAACATTGACACGCCCAGGCATGTTTGCTTCCAACCTTCCTTTGTTTCAATTTTATCCCCATCACATAGACTCCTAGGGTTGGAAGGGATATGAGCCTAATACAAAAAACCTATCTTCATGGAATTATTTTCTTAATTCATTTGCCATGAAACTTCTTGGCCCTGTATAACTGTGAAACACCTCTGAATTGGAAAAGTTTTAAGGTATACAACAGCAGGGCACAAAGAAGTCTGTCGTTGGCTGTTTAATGTATGCGTGGAAAAATGTGTAAGGCACGCTGTGTTAATAAGAGAGACCAGTGCAAAAGAAGTGCATTAAATTGGAGGTCTCCAACCTTGGCAACTTTAAGACTTGTGGACTTCAACTCCCAGAATTCTGGGAGTTGAAGTCCACAAATCTTAAAGTTGTCAAGGTTGGAGACCCATGCATTAAATAGTGTAGCCATCTAGAGAGAATGAATGAGAACCGAATATCAAAACAAATATATTATAAAGGACAAGGGAATGGTTTGAGAGGAAAGAAGACCGAGAAAGGAAGCAATTAGATAATTAATAAGAAAAGGAGGATTGAAGGTTCTGCACAAATTGGAATATGGATGTAGCTGAAACAATAATGGTGTGCAAGGTTAGAAAATATAGAAAAATAAAATATTGATATAAATTAAATTTAGCTATATTTCATTTACTTTTTCTTGTCTCATGCCTTTAATGTCTTTGTCTATTGCAGTGTTTCTCAATCTTGACAATTTTAAGGCACGTGGACTTCAAGTCCCAGAATTCCACAGCCAGCAATGCTGGCTGTGGAATTCTGGGACTTGAAGTCCACGTGCCTTAAAATTGTCAAGGTTGAGAAACACTGGTCTATTGCTTCATACTTTGTTTCTGTGTTTTACATAATCATAGTATGATAGTTATGCACAGTGCTTTTTTCGTAAAAAAAAAAAAAAAAAAAAAGGTGCCGGAACTCACACACGTCATACAACCTGCCTTGCCTACCCTATAAGGTTCCATCCAAAAAAGGTGCCAGAACTCCATTCTGGGCGTTCTATGACAAAAAAAGCCCTGGTTATGCATGCAAATATGTATACCTGTGCTATCCATTGCACAGGAAATAAATATTATTATTGGTTATTCTGCCTGACAAAGATATATTTGAATTCAGAGAATAAATTAAAAGTAATACATGATGGGCAAAACTACAGTAGGCAGGACTTCCATCAGAAGACTGTGAAGTTGACTTGCAATGCGTGTTTCAACTACAGTACAAAAACATGTGGTTTCAATAATGCAAAGTAGGTGAAAAACAAGATTAACTGGTTTTGATACCAGAGAGATAAAGTAATAACAGTAAGAGAACAGTAACACTAAAGCAGCAGAAACACAAGCATAATTATTAGTACAATTCAGTATGTTGACACACCGTCAGTCAATCTATTTTGATTAAAGCAATCATTTAATCACAAGCTCTTGAAGAAGCCAGAAACAAGCCAGAGTTAGCATTATAAATAAAAAAAGTATCTGTAGGATATATTTTTGGACTAGTTCTTGGTCTGTTTGCCCACATTTTTGGCCAGCTATTTAGGAAAGGAACAAAATCAAATCAGGATTATGCCAGGAAACCATGCCACTCCTTATATACAATATGCTAAATACCGTAATCAGTACGACAACAAGAAATCATTGTTTCAAATTATGATTTACAGATAGACCACTCATTTAGTGACTGTTCGAAGTTAAAGTGAAAATAATGAAAATTATGACTTATGTCCATTTTTCACACTTATGACTATCACAGCATTCTCATGGTCATGTAAGCAAAATTTGGACACTTGGCAACCGTCTTATATTTATGACAGTTGCAGTGTCCTGGGGTCACGTGATCACCCTTTGCGACTTTCTGGCAAGCAAAATCAACGGGGAAGCCGGATTCACTTAACAACCCCGTGTTACTAACTTAACAACTGCAGAGACTCACTTAACAACAGTGGCAAGAAAGATCATAAAATGAGGCAAATCTCACTTAACAACTCTCTCACTTAGCAAAAGAAATCTTGGGCTCAATTATGGTCGCAAGTCGAGGACTACCTGTATTATCTTAAAAGTAAACAATAATTTATTTGGTCATCTTGTTCTAATATTACTCTCAGTCAAAAACAAGCCAACCACATTATGGCATAGTGTAATTGCGTGAATTGAGTGATTCTGTCAACAGCAAACAACTGCAAACAGTCTTAACAATAAGCATATATTGCATGAGACAGAAAAGGGTGGATTTTCCTACTGAAAACGAGTATCTATTTTTTTTTTATTATTGAAAAATTTTTAAAAGTTTTACAAATAAACAACCAACCCTCACCCATCCCTCCCAAACCCCCCCTCCCCCCCCTCCCCGAGCTTCCCAGAACTGGATACAGGCTTATTTAAAATTTTAAAAAACCTAAACAAATTTTTACAACTTATAAAATAATTAATAATAAAATATATATAACATAAACATTAAGAAGAAAAATACTTAAAAAAGAAAGAAAAAAAAGAGGAAAGAGAGAGAGAAAAAAAAGAAAAAGGGATAAAAAAGATAGAAGAAAAAAAGAGAGAAAAAAACAAAAGACGGGAAAAGAAAAGAAAAAACAATCTGTAAAATATCAAAAAAATTTTATACAATTTATAAAAAAGCTAAATGATATTTTTCCATATCCAAATTATATTGTATAAAATGTATCCATTTTTCCCATACAACAAAAAATTTCTCTTGAGATTGCTCCTTTAAGAAAGCCGAAATCTTTGCCATTTCCGCCAAATAAGAAACTTTATAAAACCACTCTTGTAGGGTAGGCAAAGATTCCTTCTTCCAATATTGTCCTACTAGCAGCCTTGCGGCTGTGATCAAATTTAACATCAATATAACTTCCTTAGCATCACAATCCGTAACAATAACTAATAAAAATAATTGCGGGGTAAATTTTACCCTCCTTCTAAAAATTCTTTGAATATTCCACCATATCTTAATCCAGAAAGCTTTTATATTTTTACACGACCACCAAATATGATAATAGGTAGCATCCAAACAACCACATCTCCAACATTTAGGCTGTAGATCAGGGTACATAATAGACAATTTTTGTGGGTCAAGGTGCCATCTATAAAACATTTTATAAAAATTCTCTCTTAAATTCTGCGCTTGTGTGAATTTAACATTCCTCACCCATATAAGTTCCCAAGTATCCAGTGGGATTGGTTCACCAATATTTTGTGCCCATTTAATCATACAATCTTTGATTAATTCAGATTCTGAATCCATTTCCACTAAAACCCCATAAACCCTCTTAATATGAGTTGGTCTTTGATCCCTTACTTGTTTAAAAAGATTTTCATCTTCTCTAAGCCAACCCATATTACGATCCATCTTCCATCTCTCCACTATTTGTCTATATTGAAACCATGAATAAGTAATATTTTCATGTATTAGATCTTCCAAAGATTTTAACTGCCAATTTTGACCATCCCATCTAAGTAGTTGTATATAGGAAACCGTATCCATCTTAACTCCTCTCTTTATCCCCTCTATCGCATGCCAAGGTATAGCCCATAATGGTATTTTAAAATCACTTTTATAATATTTCCTCCATACCCTAAGCAAAGAAGTCCTTATAATATGAGATTTAAAAACCCGATCCACTTTTTTATTAAAAATTAAATAGGTATGCCATCCAAAAAGTAAATCCCAACCCTCCAAATGGAGTATTTCTACATTTGTTAAATTCACCCAATCACTAATCAGTGTTAAAACCACAGCATCATAATATAATTTCAAATTTGGTACCTTGAGTCCACCTCTCTCACGGAAATCTTGCATAATTTTAAGTTTTACCCTTGGTTTTTTCCCTGCCCAAATAAATTTGTTAATACCTTTCTGCCATTCATTTAAGTTAAGTTCATTCTTTAAGATAGGTAGCATTTGAAACAAAAAAAGAAATTTGGGTAGAACATTCATTTTAATAACTGCGATTCTACCCATAAGAGATAACTGTAAGTTATCCCAATTCTTTAAATCCTTCTGTACCCCAATCCACAACTTTTCATAGTTATTTTTGTACAATTTTACATTAGAAGCAGATAATATGACCCCAAAATATTTTACCTTATCAACAACTTCAAAATCTGTTAAGTTAACCAAGGTCTGTTTGTCACAATTAGTCATATTTTTAGGTAATATTTTAGTCTTATTATTATTAATTTTAAAACCCAAAACACACCCATATTGATGAATCAATTGTAATAATTTTACTACCAAGTAAGTAGGTTGAGACAAAGTAACAACCAAGTCATCTGCAAAAGCTCTTAACTTATATTCTTTTTTATTGATTTCTATTCCTTTTATTTCTTGCGATTCCCGAATTTTAATCAACAAAATTTCCAATGTTAAAACAAACAGTAACGGAGATAATGGACATCCCTGTCTTGTACCTTTTTCTATTGTGAAAACCTCTGACAAACCCCCATTAACAATAAGTTGAGCAGTCTGTTTTTGATATATATTGGATAAAGCTTGTAATGTGTTTT